CGGACTGGGTTCCATTGATCGTCAGATCCAGTATCAAGCTGGGTTGTCTTCCTGCGTTGGATGGGGTATGTCACTACTGGCTTTTGCACCTCGTACTAAGCTCGCGCAGCTGATTTTTGATTCCAGGACGTAGCCTGGATTCCGATGGATACGGTCTGTCGCACGATCTCTGACATCCTCTTCTCTTTGATCCGGGAGAGGTCGCCAGAGATTATTAATGTTGTCCATCCTCATCTCAGCTCTTGGAACCGTCTCTTCACCGGGATCAGCGGCGCTTTAGGCGGACGGCTTTCCACTGTCTCCTACAACGATTGGTTCTCAAAGATCGAGACTCTATCCGTCAGCCCGACAGACGCAGACTTCGTGGAAGTGGTCAGTCCCTGATCGAGTGACCCTTTACAACGCTCAACTGACGGATTCTTCAGCCCGCTATAAAAATCGTTCCTTTTCTGCGCGCATTTGTCAGCAATGGTCCGAGGAAGAACCCGCCGAATGGCGTCGCGGTCTTAGCTGGTGGGTCAGCGGATTTCGCGACAAATAAAGCGGAGGAACTGAGCCCTTCACTGCGGGATGCTCCCCCTCTAACCGAGCATGACGCTGCGATGTGGGTTCAGTATTGGAAGTCCAAGGGCTTATTTGCATAGAGAATTATATCTTTGTTTCATTGTCGACCTTGTCATCGAGAATATGTTGGTTCGTATCTCTGGACAGCAGCGCTCTGTTCTGATGTCCGGCCCGAGCCCACTCCGTGTGTTAGTGTGACAAAGCGGGAACGCGCCTTCGTCTCCCACTGGAACGCCATGATGACTATCACCGAACAAACCCATCCGCTATTCTCTTCACAACACTCTCATTTACTGTGGCTTGCAGGACAGAGAAGAGTAAGATCTGCGACGTGAAGAGCTCACAGGCATGGCAGACAGGTGTGTCGTAGCGCGTCCGGCGACCTGCGCACAATTCTCACCCCAATTCCTATCTTCAGCCCAGTAAACCCCACCAATTTCTTCTCTGGATCACCTTTGAATCGACTATCGTGGCTGCGTACATCCCAGGTATTCCTCAATGCTGTTGCCGACTCTTCAGCTGCCCGCTGGATCCTTATCAAGGATGGCCAACCACTCGTAGCGACGAATCCTCCTTCCGGAACAGAGGAAAGAGGAAAGAAATCACTCGCTCGACTTTCTACCAACGAAGTCCGACCGTTGCTCGGGAGGACACCTCTATTCTCCCAAGGCCAGAACGATGGCGAATTTGCACCATCCGACGTACATGTACTTGAAGCTGCTCGTCTTCGTGGACCACCTATCGTCTTCCTTGGTCTCCATGAACCCAACTCCGACAGTGAAGGAGCCGATGCCCTACCCTCGTCGGATTTCAGCGCGAAAGTCGATGCTGCTGCCGTCGCAGCCAAGATAAAGGGCACACCATACTTCACCCTGGATGTGAGCGACGTGGAGCAGAAGGAAGTGGACGCGGTTGTGCAGTCTTCTGAAGGTAGTCAACGCGGAGTTGCCCTTGCGTTCACCGATACAAGGGGAGTGATGTACGCGTTTTCGTACTTCGATGCTGCTGTCACTGCGGAGGCGAGAAGCATGGTCGATTGGAATGCGAGGAACAAGGTACGTGTCTTAAGCTTGGTGTTCATACGTTATATAGTGACCGCGAGTCAAGTACTGCCCTGGCTGTACGGCACCTGTCTTTTCAGCATGGGCTGGTTGGAAACTATCATGCTCATCCTTGTTGCCTTGGGCGGACAACACAGACAAGAAACCATGTCCCACAAGGTATGCTCTACAACCACATACTTCGGGAGCGAAACCCTAATTGTATAATACAGCAAGGGTCTGAATAACTTCTCACACCCAAGAACCGACGCTGTTGTGATTATGGCAGTCCTCAACGAAGCCAATGACAAGATTCTACTCGGCAGAAATGTAGGCTCTTTCTTGTGAACCACACCGATCGATCGCTGGCTGAACCACCATATCTGCATCAGAAAAAGTGGCTCGGTAGCTTCTATTCTGCCCTCGCTGGGTTCATTGAGCCAGGGGAATCGCTAGAAGATGCTGTGAAGCGCGAGTTGTGGGAAGAAGCAGGGTTGAAGGTTTGGGGAATTCGCTACCACTCTACGCAACCTTGGGTACGTGAATGCCTTATTGTCTCGGTCCTAAAGGGATTATTGACGACATCACAATAGCCTTTCCCAGCGAACTTAATGGTTGGCTTCTATGCTATTGCAGACCCATCGCTACCGACACGCATAGATCTGGACAATGAATTGGAAGGTAGGCGAACCTCACACTCATGTCTTCACAGTCCGTGCTGATGTGTCTTCTGGTAGATGCGCGGTGGTTCTCTCGAGAGGAGATTATCGCTGTCCTTGACCATCCCGAAGGGACTAACTTGAATCCGAGAGAACCAAAGGCGAAGGCTGCCCCAACAACGGCGAGCGCGTTAGCAGGGGATGCTAACGTCGCAAAGGAGACTGAGCTGAAGGTCATGTCTGCAGAGACTCCTCGCGCTGACGAACCGCCGTTCCGACTTCCCCCATTGACTGCCATCGCCGGTGTGCTGATCAACGACTGGGCCAGAGGAAAGACAAATCAACTGAAAGGAAACCTGTAGAGTGATTCATGTCACGACGTTGAATAACATTTAGATGTACTTTTGTGCCAAGCATCGCCGTTTACCAGTGGTGGACTGCATTCACATTTTGTGGGCTCTCACTGTTCGCACATGAGCAGCGTTCTTTTCTTCGTTCCAATGCAGTGTTACTCAGCATAGTCTTGCACGAGCCAATCACGGTATATGAGCCGTGGCTTTCTCCTTACAGCAAAACTTGCAGATTCCCACCAACACTTCCTCTCTCACCGAGCCACATTTCGTTCCTTGGCGGAGTCCCGTCGTACCATGTAATCGCTGAAGGTACGTACATAACCCTTCTATACACTCGTCCATTCTCTGAATCGATGGTCACAGGTTGGTGTTGAATTTCCCAGTTCTTGTCAGCAGACCATGCTACGACTTGGGTTGTCGCTGGGTTCCGGCCATTTTAGAGCAGCGTTGTCACAGCATATATGGGGCACTTGCGCCGCTGGCCCTTGGTGGCGTTCGAAAAGAACCTCTGCAACAATCACCATGAGGTGAGCAACATTCGTCACTGGTGAAGGACAGCGCTAATTGCCTCGAAAGCACCCAGAATGTACACACCAACTTCTTCGCCGGTTCCCCGCTTAACCGTCTTGCTTGGCTGCGGTCCTCGCACCAATTCCTTAACTCTATCGTTGTATCACCGGCGACACGCTGGGTCCTTTTCAAGGATGGCAACCTCCTCGTGACTTCGCAGACGTCCTCAGACCAAGTAAAATCCTTCTCCCTTGCCCGACTGACAACCGAAGATGTGCAGAACGTGTTAGGGCCGTCGCCTTATTTTGCTCAGGGCGAAAACCCAGGAGATGTTGTCGAGTCTACTGTTCCTGCCACGGAGACGAGTCGAATACATGGGCCCCCAATCGTGTTTTTGGGTCTACAGGAGCCAGGAGGGGTGCACGGACTAGGTGAAGGTAACATCCTACCCTCGTCGGAGTTCAGCAAGAAGGCGGATACCACAGAGGTCGCGCAACGGATTGTCGGAGAACCAATATTCTCGCTGGATGTGAGTGCGATCGCCAAGGAGGACATAGAAGCAGTGCTGTCGAAAGCTGGCTCGGGGATGGAGTTCGTGGATGGAAGAGTTGCGATGGGGCATCTGAACCAAATTGACAGTGGTATTTTTGCCGTGGCTAGGAGCATGGTGGATTGGAACTCGAGAATCAAGGTATGCTGGTCCACTCAGACCCACATTTGCTTGGTATTGATTTTGCGCCATGGAACAGTTCTGTGCATCATGTGGGTCGCCGGTATACTCACAATGGGCAGGATGGAAGCGATCATGCTCTCCACTTCTCCCTTGGGCGAACAACATCGGAAAGCAGCCATGTCCAACCTCGTGCGTATGGTAAGTTTGGCCTTTCTGCTTGGCTGATCATTTCGACAGCACTGGCCTGCACAACATCACGTTCCCGCGTTCTGATACGGTGGTCATTGCGGTTGTGGTCAGTGAAGACAATGAGAAGATTTTGCTGGGGAGAAATGTCCGTACGATCTTTCTGAGATGCGGGTTACAGTGTTTGATTCCGTGTTTGATAGGCTCGCTGGCCTGCCAAATTCTACTCCGCACTCGCGGGTTTCTTGGAACCTGGAGAGGCCCTGGAGGACACGTTCGTCCGCGAGTTGTGGGAAGAAGCAGGTGTGAAAGTGCGCTCTCTTCAATTCCACTCCAGCCAGCCATGGGTACGGTCTATATTCGCTGCTCAGTTTACGGCTGATGTGACATGCTTTTCAGCCTTTCCCTGCGAACATCATGTCTGGTTTCTATGCCATTGCAAATCCAAACGACCCAGTCAGATTAGATCTCGATAACGAGCTTGAAGGTACGTTCTCTACCGGGTGTCGGATTTCATATCTCTGATTGTACTATTGCCTCCAGATGCTCATTGGTACACCCGAGGCGAAGTGCTTTCTGTTCTGCAAGATCAGTCTGGAGGGGCGGCTTTCAAGCTGCCACCACGGAACGCTCTCGCGGGTGTTCTGATCAGTGACTGGGTTCATGGTCGCGTTGTTGTCGGAGGGTCGGCGACTCCCTCAACAACAAGCAGCCAGGCAGCAGGGGCAAACGCGAAGCCTTTCCAGAATTTCTTCTGAGAGCATGTTCACCATTTGTGCGAGAAACGATTGTCAACCTATTCACGAACAGCATGCAAATGGTGACTGAATGCGCCGAGGTCGAGTGGCTAATCTCCACTGGAATCTGATTCCAGTGGTTTGCGGACGTGACAGCCTGAGTGCTTGGAAACAGACGCCCTCTTCAATCATTCTGATTCATTGTACCCCGCCGACGGCCGTACAGCTCCCCAAAGTATCTCACCTGAATTCAAGTTCATGAAAAAAGAAAAGAGACTAGCCCACCGCGGGGGTCGAACCCGCAGCCTTCAGATTAGATATATGAATCTGGTTCCATCCCCGCCATATATGTAAAAGTCTGACGCTCTATCCGATTGAGCTAGGCGGGCGATATTGAGTATACATTCCAGACATTGACAGTGGGAGAGGTCTTTCGAAATGGTCGTGGGTGTAGTACATCATGCATCATGCATCATGTTTGAGGTAAGTACTGGTCTTTGCTTACACTACCTGTTTTGTCAAGCCGCCACCAGCGGAAGGTGTAAGACTCGTTTGGGAACACCATATTCGGTCGTTCCAAAGTACGAGGGATCAAGCTTTGCTACGACTTGCACACAATAGTTTACATGAGTATAGTGAGAAGGATCGGGTATGAAAGACGGATACAAGATGCCAAAAACTAGTCTAAAGGCGATTTCCCAGAAGCGTACGCAAGTAGACATTGTACAAGTGGGGTATACACAGCTTCTGCACTCTTCATACTTGCGTTGTATGCAGCAGGAATCGACTGAATACTCATATTAGCCGGATGAGTAACACGACCAACGGTTTGCTTAACTTACAGAGACTTTGCTCGCCATCAAAACGCTTTGGAGGAGACTCTCGCACGCTAAACGCACACAGTGCCATGCATCCTCAAACCCATTCAGGTTCTCCACAATGTCGTTGCAGTCACGATATGACTGTGACATCGACGGCTGCCTTCGCCCGCTCTGTGTCGAGATACGACTTGCACCTTTCAATAAACAATGATCAGGATCGTGATAATGTCCCTAGAAGGGTCACGTACTGGACCGGAGCTCGAACTCAACACCTACTACGCCGACTGGGTTGCAGTTCGCTGTTAACACTGCATTGTGATGGCATGATCTGACGTAGCTTACCGCAAGAGAAACGAATCTTAGCAATGCAGTTTAACATGTCACGAAATACGGTGACGATGGCAGTCAATAGTCCATACAACGCCTGTCGTCAAGCTTTAGCACTCTTGGTAGGCTGACAGTGCAGGATGACCCCCCGTACATTCCATATTGACATGCATAACCTATGATGTTGAATCAGAGCCGCAGGTCCAAGCCTAGCGAGAGGTACTCACTCTTCCACGCCCGACCAAATTCCGGCCAGAAGGCCAGTGCCTTCTGCTTCGTTGCGAAGATAGCTCGAGACCTTGACGGGGAAGATCTCGACGTCTTTGCTCAACTCCTGAAACTTGACTGCAACCTTCCTCGCCGCCTCTTGATGCACAGGAATAGCTTCCAGAAATTTGTCAATCATGAGGTGTTTCTCGGGCAGGGTCATTCGGGATCGAGACAATGGGACCAATATAGTAGAAAAGTCTGGAGGGATTGGACGGTCGAGTGCGCGGCAAGGACGAATACTGCGGGAAGTACATACTGTTGAAGAAGCTCGCACACTGGCTCGCGTTGAGCTGAGAATCTCTATACAGCTTCCTGTGTTGCTGCAGCAAAGATCAGCGCTGCAATATCCCTTCGCACAACGTGGTTGAACTCACCTTTCGCAATCCATTCCATTCAGTACACAGATAGTGATCCTTCCCTATCTTAGGTGTCGCTTCCAGTTCTGCAGCTACGGATATAAACAACTTCTGGATCTCGTCATGATCCTTTACAAGCTTCGAGAATGCATCCTTGAGTGTTCGTTCGGCTCGGATTTCTTCATAAGTTGGAAGGTTCTCGGAGGTTTGGGGGGTAGTCAAGGGTGTTGGCCCTGGTTTCTCCGAGTTATTGGATGGCATGGTGAGAGATGATCAAGGCATTGTTGAAGAACGTGTCGAGACAACCCGGTGCCAGTGGTCAAACACGAGGCATGGGAAAACACGAGGTTCTTCAAGTTCGAGTTGTGACCACAAGCGCTTCAGTGTCCTCAGTTGCTTCATCCACGTAAATCACGCAACATACTGAACGAAAGCTCTCAATATACTATCGCTCTTGGAAGGATCATACCTACGGACATGCCGATCGAGGCTAGGGCTTTATCTCGCCCAAGGCCCCGCGGGGCTGGACGTCCACGCCGGACGTTTTGTCCAGTTCCATATGGAGTTTTGCTAGTCAGCGATGTCCTCTGCACTTTGTTCGTGCAAAACGCATCCAGAGCAAAGTGTCATTTACGAACAATCGAATAAATACCGTTGTTTCGAGGTACGTTACTGGCCAATTCTTAGAAAGCGACGATGACCGACTTCTTCCTCAGGGAACCATCCTTCCTCTCAAATCCTAACGTCGAGGCCTCGCCATGCGCCGTGTTTCCATCTTCTTATCGTCGATTTCTATCACACGTCGTTCGTCGTGTTAAGGAGCTTGAAGCTGCCCTTTACAACTTGGACGAAGAGACGCATGTGTTCCTCAAACGCATCGACCGAGCTGGTTTCCGCGATTTCGCAGGGAGAGACAGGCAGTTGCTGTATCTCGGTCAACTGTCTCTGCATTGGGAGGGGCGGTGGAACGATCTGGCGACTGTTTTGGAACAGAACTGCCTACTGTCAAGGGACTTCAAAGAGATTCACGAATTCAAACGGTTGGCCAGACATCGGAACTGTTACAATTTCTCAACTGATCGATCTTGTTTGCCTTTAGCATGCGAAAGAATTTGTTGCTTCATGCCTTTGAGATGGAATGTCAAGACCGTCGACTTCCCTCCCCGAGGCATCTCGCTCTTCAGTCAGTATTCCCTATCATCGTTTTGCTCCGACGAAGTCTCCTGACTTCTCCACTCTGGATCAGATACGAGGCTGAGCAAGCTTGCGGATTCACACCACCGAGTCCCCTCATAGCCCGCGTGGTTACCCGCACAGGTTACACAGGAGGCACCGAGCTCCGTCGTTTCCCGAACTCCAGGTATGGTCTTCCTTCCGACCCCGCTTGCTTCGAGCACCCGGCTGAAATTGTCGCTCGTAGCTCTTCTGTAGTTGATGAGAGCATGGCGGAGAAACGCACCGACGCTATCCAACAATTCCAAGCCGTCTCTCTTCATCTGAAAGCTGCCAATGAAGTGACAGAACGTAGCAAACCCCGACAGACTTCGTTGGGGTGCGTTATTGCTTGAGCGGATGTACAATATTCGTATTATATGAGATGTCATGCTTGTTTAGTGAGATTTGCAGATTCTCCTGTACGATAGGACGTTGGCTCGTCAAATTACACGCTCTATGGAAGAACAAGTGGATACAACACAATACAATTGCAGAGATTAGAGGAACGATGCATGATGATAGCGGCCCGATATAAATGAAGAATGCAGGTAACGGAGGATAACACGTCCATGCCGAACGGCGAGGAAAGAGAGTGCAGTGGATCGAGAGGTAGAAAACGGGGTAGCAACTATGAATGGGGTGTTGTCCGACTGGTGGAAGGTAGAGTAGGTAAGGAGGATTGTGGTGCTATGGGTGTTGTTATTGAGAAAGGGCCACTGTGATGCACAAGTGGTGCGGTTGTGAACGGTGGTTTGGGCGAAGCGTGCATCTGAGAATCCTTGCTTGGAGAAGTGCTCAGGGATGGTGTTGCTGAAAAACGGCTTCTACCATCATAGTTGCGGTAAGTAAAGCGGCGGAGAAATTTGACATGAAATTACTCACGCAGAATCTCCCTGGCTCTGAGTCTGGGTGGCCAATGGATCGGTGTTCCCGACCTTCATAAAACCTGCTTGTACCAAGAAGTCCCATACACGACTGGTCTTGTTGACATCGATCTTGACAAGATCACGAGCTTCTCGACGACGCAACTTTCCACCACGCCGCGCATACTCTCGAACCAAAGTCTCCTTGATGACCAGGTATGGCTTGGGGAGAATGCGAAGTTGCGAGCACAGTGTCTGTTCCTCCGGGGTAAGTAAGTGGAGCGAGGGGCTGTTGGCAAGATTGAGGGGGGCAGCTATGGAGGGCATCAATTATCAGAGCTTTGTGATAGTCAAAAGCGTACTTACGCATCTTTCTGCCAGGTGGGCCAATTCCTGATGTAGCGACTGCTGAGCCAACTTTCGGAGTTAGCTCGCGTTCGTGGCTCTTCCTGCTCTCAGAATGTCTGGAATTGGAGTGAAGGCGCTCTGGGAAGAAATCCCTGCCGACGCTTTGTTTGATATTCGTCTGAAGATTCGGTCGTGTTTGAGACGAATGAAGAGTAATGTGTATGATGGAGGTACTGACCCGCTTTATAAGATCAGTTTCATACTTCTCAATGTCAGCCGCCGTCGTCAGTCCCATGCGTCGGTAGTGTTGCAGCTCCTGTATCCGTTTCCGAAGGATGGATTCGTCTGGATGATTGTGCTTTAATAGAAGACATGGCTATTCCGGAAAACACTTACACATCAGATCTGCGACAAAGACCTCGAAATCTTCCCCGGTCTGAAGCTTTGCAAATGGACGCAATCGAACCAAGGCTTCCTTCTCCTCTCGTGGGCGTTTCTTGTCTGCCGCCTGCATCTATTGCCAGTCACATTCAATATATGGCCAAGTCGCCCGAAGGATGTCTTACCTGTTTGTAGTTCAGCAGGCCACGATTAAACATAATCGCCTTGTTCTCTTGGCGCTTTTCTACCCTCTGGTTGTACATCTCCAGAAGCGTGAGCTTAAACGCGAGGGACTCCGATGTTTCAATTGGTGGTGGTTGCACTGGCTCGTCCGCCTCGTCATCGCCATTGCCACTGCCAGTCTCGTCGTTTTTCGGCTCCGGTTTGGGTTCTGGTTTCGGTGTGCCGCGTTTTGGCGTGTCGCCATTGTGGAAGTGGAATCCATTGAGAAACCCGTTTGGCATATAGCCATTCGGTGGCCTCTTTCCCGTGATCGGCTGTGACTCGCGCAGAGCCTTCATCTCCTCTTCCCACTTGACCCGTGCTTTGACCTCGAGATCATGCTCGTCTTCTGGTATCGCATCTCCGCCCCATTCTAAACAAACTCCGAATTCCAAATCCTTCACCAGGTCTTCGGCCTCGTTATCCAGTTCATGTTCGAACTCGAGACGCCCCGGAAGGAAAGTTGCGACTTCATGTACACCTGGAGCAGATGTTGGTGCCACCTTGGGGGCCGGAGGAGGGTTGGAGTTCATGACGGATATTCGCCTTCGTTTCCGCTCCTGGAACTCAGAAGGGTCGACATTGA